CTTTTCCCTTTTTTTCCTCCATCCTTCTCTTCCCCTCCTCCCAGTTTCCTTGAATTCTCAGAGCTGCTGGGAAGCAATTTATATTCCTTTCCAGCATTAACTCATCACTGCTTGGCACATCGTATCCCTGCTGGTGAATATCTGGTTCTCTTCAGGTGATTCAGGAATGGCCATTTCTGAAAACTTAAGTATTTGGTAATGATCAAGTGAGGAATAAGGATGAAATGAAAAATCTTGTATTATTGCCTCCTGTTGGAACTTGTGAGAATCTGAACAGTGTGTCGTCTTGGATCTCCAGAGTTGAGAGCAGCAGTCTCTGTGTTTTGGTCTGCCTCTGGTTATTTACACAGCCGTGTGGTGTCAGGTTGAGTCTGCGCCCGCTGCACCCTGCCTTTTGCTCACAGTGCCTCTGGCCTCTGCTCTGAGAGCCAGCACTGACGGCAGGGGAGGGAGTCAGGGTTTCCTGCTTGCTCACTGTGTGCCAGGGTTACGGCCTCGTTCTTCATGCGTCTTGTCTCATTTACTCCCCGAACAAACCTGGAGAGATAATATATTCTTGTTTTATTAATACAGAAATAGAATCTCAGAGAAATTAATGTTTGCCCAAGGGCGCAGAGCTAGCAGTATATTCAAGGTTTGAGCTGAGACCTAACTCGAGAATCCGTGTTTTTCTTGTTACAGTAACTACCCAGGGGTGTCAGGTCCAGGATCACCAGAGGGACCAAGCCGAGAGTGAACTCCAGGGCGGTCTTGGTCATCTTCTGTAGTCCCTGCTCCATTGTTTCTCTCCTGGTGAAATCAGCTTAATATGAGCATCAGGTTATCTTGACTGGAGACGTAAGAGAGCTCAGTGTTACCTGTTAGGTTGTCATGGGAGTCCGGGAAGCTAGAGGAGGGTCGGCCGAAAGAAGGAGCGGTCCTTGGCTGTGTTGTGGGGAGGGGGGCCCGAGGCGCGAGGAGAGTGGTGGTCCGTAGATGTACATGTGAACCTCACAGACTTCCCAGCCTCAGTCCCCCTCACTCAGGGGCCACAGCATGCCTTCTCCTCGGGTCCCGGCCCAGCGACGGGAGATCATCTACGTGATGCACCAGAAGAACAGGCAAAGTTTCCAGGAGAGTCAGAGCAAATTCTAAGGAAAAAAAGAGATGGGGAAAAGCTCTCAGACGAAGGATAAGATATTCTCAGGAGCGCTGCGCAGGGCTGGCTCCGGAGGCTCCGTTCTTCTGTGGGCCATGACGGTGCTCAGGGCAGCAGGTCTTCACTGGGCTGCAGAGCTCCGGGCCTGCACATGCATGAGCGACTCTGAAGAGCTAAGACCTGGGGAAATTTCTAGGCCGAGGGGAGCAAGATGAGGACAGGTGCCCGCGATACCAAGTGGAGCGGGGGCCATAAGGGAGAAGCCGTTTCGGGGGGAAATCAGACTGACTGGGCTGGTTCTGCTCCGGCACTAGGATGCCTCGTGATCCTGAGCATGTTATCTGATGACTCTGGGACTCAGTTTCTCCACCTGTAGAAGGAGCACCTTGCAGGAGCACTGCAGTGGCTGGAGATGTATGTAAAATGCTCGGCACCTAGTAGACTTTAATAAATGGTCCCAATTTGATGTTAGTGCTGAGTGCCTGCTCTCGCTTCCTTATTTGTGGGAGCCAGCCCCCTCTCACCCCGCTGCAGGGTCTGCGGCTGGGATCCTGAAGCCCAGAGGAGAGTAGAACTGATTTCAGGTAAGCAGTGAGTTTGTGAGTCAAGTGGTTAGGCAGAAGGTGGAGGCCAAACCCGGGGCAGAGACGTCTGAAAGCAGAGCCCAGGCCCGGCCGCCGGCTGGAGACCAGGGAGTCACGGGTGGCAGGCTCAGTGGCAGAGCAGGTCACGGCCCCTGCTGCCCCCTAGTTTGGGGCTTGGGGCAGGAGGCTGTGTATCCCCCGTGAGTCCCTGTGGAGAAGAGACAAGAGAAACCACTGTCCCCAAAGAGTGAACCCCCCTGGTGGTAGGTGTGGGGGACAAGTGAGCGGTCCAGAGGCTGAGGCCTCAGGTGATAGATCCCCCACTGTGAACGTGATCGTGGTCAGAGAAACCAGATCTCTGAATCTCCCAGGGTCTGCGTGTTCACTTACTGATTGTGATATTTTTCATTCTTATTAAAAATAACACTTTGTCTTGAATGACTATCTTTGAAAATGTAGAAAATGCAAATGAAAAAGTAATCACCTATACAGGCAGACCTCAGAGATATTGGGGGTTCGGTTCCAGACCACCACAATAAAGCGATTGTCACCATAAAATGAGTCACACGAAATTTTTGGTTTCCCACTGCGTATGAAAGTTACGTTTACAGTACACGGTAGTCTATTAAGTGTGTGGTAGCATTATGTCTAAAAAAGTGTCCATACCTTAATTAAAAAGCGCCAACCGTCGTCTGAGCCTTCAGAGTCGTACCTTTCTGCTGGGGGACGGCCCTGCCTCAGTGTTGAAGGCTGCTGACTGACCAGGGGCGGCTGCAGCGGTTTCCTAAAGTAAGACAGCGGTGAAGCCTTCCGTGACAAACGCCTCTTCCTTACTGTTCGTGGGTTCGCGGGAGTAGCGCGGCTTTCGACTTGCCTTCCTCACGAAGCTGAATCATTGCTAGCTTTCGATTCAAAGTGAGGCACATGCCACCCTTCCTTTCACTTGGACATTTAGGGGCCACTGTAGGGTTATTGATTCGCCTAATTTCAATATTGTAGTGTCTCGGGAACAGGGAGGCCCGAGGGGAGGGAGGGATACCGGAGCAGCTGTCGGGTGGAGAGCAGTGAGGACACACAGCGTTTATCGATGAAGTTTGCTGTCATGTGTGGGAACGGTTTGCGGTGCCCCAAACAATGAGAGCAATAATACCATAGATCCCTGATCACAGGTCACCCTAGCAAATAGAATAATAATGAAAAGGTTTGAAATATCGTGAAAATTATCAAAATGTGACACAGAGACACAAAGTAAGCAAATACTGTTGGAAAAATGACACCGATAGACTGGCCCAACACAGGGTTGCCACAAACCTTCAGTGTGTGAAAAGGCAGGGTCTGCAGCGTGCGCTGAGGCAAGGTGTGCCTGTAATCTTATGCCCAGTAGTCGCCGTTGGGATTCTTGTGTTCCTTCCGGGCTTTTTTCTGTTCTGATGCATATCGATGTGCATATTTGTGTTCATCTAAAGACAGTGGGGTTAGACAATATTCAAGGTTTTGTGAGATTAGTTTTTCATTAAGTTGTCGTTGCCTGTTTTCATTTTATACCATTTTAATGGATGCATAGTGTTCTAGTGTATGAATTTATATATTTCCCCACTGTGGGACGTTTACCCTTTATCTGATTTTCTGCTGTTATAAATTTTGTGGTAAACACTGTCGGTCAGTCTGGGAACATGTACACAATTCTTCCATGATGGAGATTGCTAGGTCAAAGGCTAAGCAGAATTCTAAGGTTTTGGATTTCAGTGAACTGTCTTGCAGGAAGGGTATGTGAAACTGGCACGCCTGCTGCAGGTGGGCACTCCTGCGTTCCCCAGGTCCCTCCACGGCAGTGACACCACGAGGAGGGAGTGTCTGTCTCTCTTCGGTGGATGAAGCGCCGTCCCTGTTTGACTGACGTGCTGCCGATTGTGGGGGCGGCCCCGGCTCGCACCCTGTCTCCCACACGTGTGCTGCTCCTGCCCTCCTCGCTGACGGTGGTTTTCTCTTTCGCAGCATTGCTGGGAGCCTGGTGTATTCCTACATCACTTTCTCCGAGGAGCAGCTGAGCAAACAGTCAGAGGCCGGCAGCAAGCTGGACGTCAAGGGGAAGGGAGCCGTGTGACCCAGGACTGCTTCAGCCGCGCAGGCCAAGCCTCTGATCAGCTCGGAACACTGGCACTTCTGAGGTGTCTGGATTGTGGAGAAAACACCATTCCTTTGCACTTGTACAATCTGAGGATTGATTGCTGCCTTTTAAAATTTTATGAGAAACTTATAATTGACTCTATTTTAAATATGCTGTTTGAATTAATTTATATCAGACTGGAAAATGTACTGGGCTTTTTAATTTATTTTTCTTCTGTGCCGACAGTGAGACATCAGTGTTTTGAAAATGTTTTATTCCATGGTTTGTCATTCCGGCATCCAGGGAGCTGTGCGCATAAAGTGCTCTGGCCAGAGCCGTCTCGTTCACGTCGCCGCGGCATCTGGGGCCAGTTTAGGCTGATTTCTGCTGGAAATGCAGCCAAGTATCTGAAATTTCTCTCCTTTAAATTTTATTTCTTAACGATTGCATTTTCTTCATGAGCATACCGTATGCATTCGCCACAGATGACCACCTTGGCACTAAAAAACATGTGGGGCTTTGAAGTGTCTTGGTTTCCGTGTTGGCTTCCCCGAGAACTCACAGGATGAGCAGAGTGCATTCCTTGAAAAGGTGCCGTGCCCTCTCTGTTCTGTGGGATGGGGATGGTGAAGGCATGCAGGAGGGAGGCCTTTTCTCCCTCATTCCTCCAGCTGGTCCATCTGCTCAGCCAGTGTCCTGAGTGTGTACTGTGCGGGCGTGGTGCTGCGTGCAGACATTCTCATCTATTCATTCAGCCAGAGTGTCCTGAGTGTGTACTGTGTGGGCGTGGTGCTGCGTGCAGACATTCTCATCTATTCATTCAGCCAGAGTGTCCTGAGTGTGTACTGTGCGGGCGTGGTGCTGCGTGCAGACATTCTCATCTATTCATTCAGCCAGAGTGTCCTGAGTGTGTACTGTGCGGGCGTGGTGCTGCGTGCAGACATTCTCATCTATTCATTCAGCCAGAGTGTCCTGAGTGTGTACTGTGCGGGCGTGGTGCTGCGTGCAGACATTCTCATCTATTCATTCAGCCAGAGTGTCCTGAGTGTGTTCTGTGCGGGCGTGGTGCTGCGTGCAGACATTCTCATCTATTCATTCAGCCAGAGTGTCCTGAGTGTGTACTGTGCGGGCGTGGTGCTGCGTGCAGACATTCTCATCTATTCATTCAGCCAGAGTGTCCTGAGTGTGTACTGTGCGGGCGTGGTGCTGCGTGCAGACATTCTCATCTATTCATTCAGCCAGAGTGTCCTGAGTGTGTACTGTGCGGGCGTGGTCCTGGACGCTGGGTGCAGACGTCCTCGGGGGAGTTGCGGATCTCACTCCCGCTGTGGTGAGAGGGTGACAGAGAACATAGTTGTCTTGGTCCATTCAGAGGGTAATGTGACTGAACAAGTCACAGAGGCTCGCCAGCTCTCGGGACCTGGGATCTGTGGAGGGGTTAGAAGCCGCTGCCCCCCGCCCCTGGGTGCGGGAAGCTCCTGCTGCGGCGGCCCGGCAGCTGCTGTGTGGAGTTGCATTCTGGCCGTGCAGCCCAGCCCCTGCGCCCTGAGCGAGCGTGCGCCCGGGGCCCTCCGCCTCCCCAGGCTTCCCTCCTCTGGCTGTGGTTCCTGCTCTTCCTCCTCTCTGGATCAGTAGGACTGGGGCTTAGTTTCTGAAGGCATTGGTGTGAGGGAAAGGCCGGTGGGTATGTGGGTGTTGGCAGGGCGTGGTCCTCAGCAGCGGCAGTGTCGGAGCCGTCACCTTCCTTTCTCCTCACGTGGCATGAGCACCCCTCTCCCACCTACATCCCATGTCTCTTGGCTCACTTAAGTAGACATGCCAGCTTCTCCCAGACCCGTGCTGCATCCGAGGAGCGCAGCATGAATGGGCAGTGCCTGCATGGCCTCTCTGGGTGGGGTGGGGAGTTAGTCGCAGTCCTGAGACTTGGCTCAGAGACATCTGGTGATGGGGACGAGTGTTCGCTCCGGCGAGGAGCGTAGTCAGTGTCCCAGAGGCTGGTACGTTTGCACCGTTGCCCACACTAGCTTCTGTTTCGTTGGATTTGAAATCCACTGGGCTCTGTTGACCTAAACAATTAGTATTTTGGTGCCTCAGCAGGAGACCTGGAAGGTGTTTTCTTTTTCTTTGTGAAGAAGAATTATATTGAGGTCATTTTCATGTTCATGTTTTTCTCTTATTTTGAAGCCTGGCCAGTGGTGCTGGGTCCCTAAAATTAGCCTCATGGCTGACTCCAAGTTACAAGCTCCGTGTAAGAGGTCCCCAGGCTCGCTTTGTCCAGTATCATCTGATCTGAGAAAAATCACACTTGGAGAAGAGGCTGTTTTGTGTAGGATGCTTCTTCCTGTGCCTGTTTCACCAGTGAGGAAAGCTCAGAGGAGGCAGTGACGCTGCTGCTTCCGCGGAGCCAGGCTCCATCGACAGCTGCCTTCCCCGAGGCCCGGGGAAGCGCGGAGGCCGGCTGAGTTGGTCCCTGGAGGTCCTGGGGCTTTTTGGACCTTCCGGGCCGGCCTCAGTTGAGAGGGGCGTCCGGCTCTGAACACCGGCCTCGGCCTGCCTTTGCCCGGGTCTGGCGGAAGGGCGCCGAGAGAGCCGTCTGAGCGCTTCTGTTCTTCCTGTCAGCCACGCGAAGCAGGGGCTCCGGCGGCAGAAGTAGTTGTGTTGTGGGGTCTCACTGTGAGAGGCCTTTGGGTGTGTTGAGAGGCCGGGACCCCGCGGGGGGTTGGACTGCTGCTTGGGGTCAGGTTCCCTTGAAGACCTGTCGTCTCCCCAGGTTCGGTTGAGAAAGGCTTGTCTAGGCAGCGCGTCACTAAATACGCATGAGCTCAGGGCCCTGAGCTCCGCTGAGCTTTCTCACTGACCAGCAGCGGTGAGCAGCTCGCAGCTTCTGCCCCATCCGCCTGCTAAGTCCCGGATGCCCCTTCCACGGCCCCTGACGTTTCAGGATACGCGAAAGCAGCCGGGGAGGTTGGAGGTGGAATAGACCGGCCACCCACTTTTGGCGTCTGTTTTCAGTTATGTTCAGGCTTGGTTATAGTGCACTAGAGGTTTATGTGGTACGCCAGCATTGCCCAGAATGTCTGGATTTTGGCCCAAGTTGCTATCTTAGAGGATAAAAACTCTTTGAGCTATTAACTGCCTCCTGGGAGAAAAAGAGGCAGTATACAGTTAAATCCTTAATTTTCCCTGAGACAGATGAGCTGTGGTGGGAATTCTGAAAGCCAAATTTTATGACTGGTGGCGCCTCTTCTTGAGTTGGCAGACTTTGGCCAGTCTGCTTTTAGTCAGTGCCGCGTTGATTTGAATAACGCTGGTTGCCCAGAGTCCACTTTGCCACCATGTCAGGTGCTTGTTACTTCCCTCATATGGCTGTTGACTTTGTGAGTCTATCATTTGTAGGATCCAACTCACATGTGGGTTAAAACAAAAAAGTACATTTGCAAGTTTTCTGTAGCCGCGTTGTATCAGGCATCCGTGGAAAGTCTGGGTCAGTGAAGCTGGGGTGCTCCTCCCGGGAAGAGTCGAGTTGCTGCCCTCACCACGTCTGCCCGCCTAGGCAGGACCTAGGATTTGGGCCCTGCCTTTGCTGTTGTTGTGGTGGCCTCACTCAGTGAGCGGAGATTACTGAGCGTCTGTTTCATGCTGGGCGTTGTGCGAAGCTCTGGGGACACTGGGCTGACCGGGCCGTGGTGTAGTTCTTTAGCCGGGGCCTGACTGAGGGAAAGCAGCAGGCAGAGGAGCCAGTAGTCTGCGGGTGAGAGCTGCCTGCAGTTGCAGGATCACAGAGGGGGCGCCTACCTGCAGGCTGAGGCCCGCTGGGCTCCAAGAGCACGCTCCTAATGCACGCTGGGCTTCCAGCTCCGCGCCAAGTGCCCGGCTGCCAGGGTCTGTGGATAGCCTGGGTCCCTCCCTCTCCTGCACGCGTGCCCGCTTCCCCAGGACTGTGTAACGTGGGTTCCTCCCAGGAACAAGGCTGTAACTCGCTTTTCCCTCAGAGGGAACAATCCTAATATTCAGAATAAATGAGATAATGGTTGTGACACTATTCAGCACAATGCCTAAGACACATTAGGCACTCAGCAAATGTTGTTACTGTCATCATTTCACCGCAAGACTGTAGGCAAAACAAGATTCTTAATCTGTGCTCCCCACGTGCCAGAGGTCTGGGCGATGTGTGTATTTCTTGAAAAATGTGACCCTGTATCTCGTTGCCTCTGGAACGTCCAAGTTTCTGTTCATGGTCTTCCTTTCTAGAGAACCTACTGGATGTTACTGTGGCCACTCTGTGATTCAGCTGATTCCACCTGTTTTTAAAAAAGAACAGAATTACTCATATTTTGGTGGTAAATTTCAGAAAAGGAAGAGTTACTTCCTATCTTAAAGGAGAATAGTCACACTTCAAGGATAGTGATTCAGTTCCAACCTTCCCCGTTTGTCCCCTTAGGGTGGCCCTGCGCAGCCGGCCGTTCCTCCGTCCCGCCTCGGAGCCGAGCACGCCGACCGCGCCGCCTCTGGTCCGGGCTGCCCTCCAGTGCTGGGGAACTTCCGGCACATCGCTGTTTTCACACCATCCTCTGGTTCTTACTGACAGGATGCCGCTCCATCCTGGTATGGTGGGTTTTTTTGAGCTTTCTTTTTTGAAAATACTTTTTAAAAAGGAATCTACTGGTTAGATTTATTGTCTCACAAAAATGTTTTTAGAGATTATTTTGTTCATAAATGTTTCTTTCTCATGCTGATGATCAACTGATTTTTGTCTACAAATGTTGGCCTATTATACTATTTTTTCAATATACATTCTATTTACCAAATGATCATTTTAGTGTTTTTAAAAGGTATTGAGAGGATCGAGATATGTAAATCAGGTGACATAAACATGAAAATTATGTGCCTAAATATTTTTGTAAAGGTGTGAAATAAATACTTTTTCCTGAACACATGTATTAAAATTCCTTTCTAAGTGCATACAAAGACAATCAAGGGCCGTAAGTGCCCACATTTAAGAGGATGGCCTCCAGTCCGTTGACTGAGACCCAGTAATAGAGAAAGTACTGTTTGCCATTGTGATATTTTGATTTATAATAAGAAATATATATCTGGTCTGCGTTCCCGTTCCTGGCACAAAGCTCCTAAAACCCTTGTAATTTCCTATATTTGAGCTATAGGAACATCTTTTGATATAATATTTAGTCTTGTTCCAAGTTCTTGAAATAGCTCCAGAGCTATAAAGGTGACGTGGGTGTCCTTTGTTATTCATAACAAGCCTCTTTCAACCACACTTGAGTTTATGTTAATAAGGTGACTTTTGGAAAGCCCCTAAGGATGGGAGCTGGCTGCCAGGGGAACCAACCCTGTGATTTGTGTTGGGATTTTCAGTTCCCCTCTCCCACCACCACCTGGTGGAGGGGCGGCGGGCTGGGGGTTAAATCCGTCACAAAGGGCCAGTGATTTAATCACTCCTGTCAACAGGATGAGGCCTCCCTAAAAATCGCTGAATGTGGAGGATTGGATAGCCTCCGGGCTGCTGAACTCATGGAGGTGCTGGGAGGCTGGATCTCCATCCGTCCATCCTTGATGGGCGCTTGGGTTCCTTCCACTGTTTGGCTGTTGTGACTAATGCTGCTAAATGTGGGTGTCTCAGTCAGTTCGGGCTGCTGTAACAAATTACTGTAGACTGAGTGGCTTAAACAGCAAACGTTAATTTCTCACAGTTCTAGAGGCTGGGATGTCCCGGATCAAGGTGCCGGCAGATCTGGCGTCAGGTGAGAGGCCACTTGCCGAGTTGCAGATGTCCATCTTCTCATATCCTCACATGGTGCAGAGCAGAGGCAGCAAGCTCCATCCTCATGACCTGATGACCTCCCAAAGGCCCCATCTCCAACTACCATCCCATTGGGGATTAAGGTTTTAACATAAATCTTGGGGTGGAGAGGCAAATCCAGAGTAATAGGTTTACAAATAGGCTTTCAGTACTTTTGGAATTGCTAGGTCATATGGCAATTCTTTTTTTAATTGTTTTTAATATTATTCTCCATCATGGCTGCACCATTTTACATTCTCACCAGCAGGGCACAAGGCTTCCAGTTCCTCCACATCCTTGCCAGCATTTGTTATTTCCTGTTTTATTGGCGGTAGCCATGCTAGTGGGGGTGAGGTGATAGCCCACTGTGGGTTTTGATTTGTATTTTCCTAATGATGAGTGATGTTGAGCATCTTTTCATAGACAGTCCTTTGGAGAAATATCAAATATATTATTCGTCAATATTTTCTCCCATCCTATAGTCTGGCTTTTCATTCTTGTTGACTGTG